CAAGGGACAGATAAGAGAAGAGAGACAGAGTGAAGACAGAGCAAGAGGCATGAGAGAGGGAAGAGTGGAAGGATAACAGGGGTGATGAGGAGAAATAAAGTTAGCTCAGTGAGCTAAGGGAAGGACATCTATGGCATGTGTGGGAGTCACTGGAAAAACAGAGGAACACAAAAATCAATAGTGACAGATCCATCACATCAAACTACAAAGGAGAACTTTAAAGTGCCAGTGTGCCCGGGATCAATGCCAGATCTCGGATTAAATCAGCAAAGACCACACACTTTTTGGGTCACTCCTGTTACACAGTACAGTACTTTAAAAAATAAAATAATATGTATTAAATATGCTTGATTACAAATTTAAAAAATGCATGACTGCAAAAAAAAATGCTTGACTACAATAAAAAAAAAGAAAATTAATAAAATAAAAAATAATTGAATTTCCAGATTGGAAATCAGGACGGAAATACATCATTCAGAGAAGGATTGTGAGTTACTTTACATGAGACTGTCAATTTAAAGATAGTTTTGATATTTTTAACAATCTTTTGAAATTCTGATATTATCATATATTGTGTAAAATATCTATAATTGTATCTAACAGAATAGAATGCCTCAAAGTACAATGAACCATCTACCACATACCACAAAAACATCACAGAATTCATTAAATCCATAGCTAATACTTGCTTATGTTTGTGCGGTTGTTATTAATGTGATGTCATTTAGGAACTGGCTATGATTCGTTAGAGAGAAATTACACCATAGGACTATCAATAAAACTAATAAAACCGATGGAGAAACTAATGAAACTGATAGTTTGAAAATTTTTTGATTAAAGAAAATAGAAATACCTGTAATCTTTCGTTGCATTAATAAATAAAAAATAAAAAATTTATACTCAAACACGGCAAAAAAGGCAACATAAACTCAAACTAAACTAGAAATGCACTCATTTAGATTTTGTGACAACTATCTCATTGTTTAAAAACTGTGAGTACAGTATGCTATTATATTAAGACATGTAGATAAGAAAATGTGCTGCACAACAGGAATGAGCCTTTTATCAATGAATAACAGTGGTAATCAACATGAGTAGCCTACCAGTGCTGACTGGTCATAAACACAGGGGTGTGAGAGAGCACTGTCCTCTTCATCCTGTCCATCACAAATCATTGTGCACCTTGAGGAGACATATAGTTCTGGACTGATTAACAAGATCTCCTGCTTATTTACAAACCAGCTCATCTTTTGCGTTACGATAAAAATGGAAATGTATTTAAGCAACCATGCATGCAGCGACGACAGGCACAGAGCAATTATTGTGAAATAATCGTCAATATAACGGACATTTTGCAACACTTCAGGTCAAGCGTTTCCTCTGACTCACCCGGACCACAGCGACGCTTCAAATCAGGATCCAGCAGTCGATAACTAGGCCTTTATTTAATATTAATCACTGGATTGTGGATAATCATTCCTCTATGGCGCCCGAAACAGTGTTTAATATCCGCAGTCGCATTGAGCGCGTCGCGAAACGCTGTGGTGAAACGCTTCCTGAGCGCGTCAGACGCTCATGGCAGAGCCCTGCAGACAGACATGTTTGACGCGGTGACGGGCTATCGACGGGCATTCTTTGACGCTGTTACAATAAAAGCCCTAAGATGCCTGTGTTAAAATCACAGTGCTGCCTTCTAGTGAGAAAACAGGACAGGTTTAATGCTAGAGGCGGTTTTCATACACCAGATGATCTTGTGATGACGATACAGGCTTATAAAGCGAAATTAAGTTGATGAAAATGGGACACGACGTGTAATCATGTGGATTACATCTAAGTGGTTACAATGCCATCGTCCGCATTTTGATTGAGAATTATATTGTGATTTTATAACGTGAATTATGACGTCTGTGAAACTGTTTGTGTTTAACAAAACAATCAAACGCGTTTACAAAAAATGTTTTCATAAGAGCTGAGGTTCTGCTGACATGGTCACAAACCAGCAGAGAAAATGCACAATAATATTATAACCTCTTTAATTGAGTAGTTCTTTCAGATAGCTCGTTCAAATTATTTTAATTAATATAAATATCTTCTTAGTACCAAAACAGTAATTTGGACTTTGGATCCAATATTTTTTTTTTTTAGCTGAGAAAATGCACAAAAATAGTTCTTGACTATTTTATTACCTAGTCAACAGAGACGATATAGACCTATCTTTTAGATAGGAAATTATTTTAATTAATAAACAGATCTGGGTACCAAAACAATAATTTGGACTTTGAATAGCCTAAAGATTTTGAGTAAGCAATAGCCTACTTTCAGTGTCATATATGACAGTGTAAAAAAAAACCTGAAATTTAAATTTATGTATTCAAATTGTCCAGTGTGGATGCAGATCATACAGGTTTTCGTGATCTGCTGTTGGTATTAAAACATGTAATATACAATAAATGGACAAAAGTATTGAGACACCTGATCATTACACCTTCAGGGACTTTAACGACATCACGTTCTAAATGCATATGGAGCAGATGTGACCTAATTGGGTGTGTTACCCAATACCTGTGTCCCTTAGAGAGACTTGTAATCCGAAGGTTGTGGATTCAATTCTGAATAAACAGAACTGAACCCCCCCTTTACAGCTACAACAGCTTCCACTCTTCTGGGAAGGCTTTCCACAAGATTTTGGAGTGCTCCTGTTGGAATTTTTGACCACTCATCCAGTAAAGCATTTGTGAGATCAGGTACAGATGTTTGACAAGAAGACCTGACTCACAATCTCTGTTCCAGTTCATCCCAAAGATGTTCCATTGGTTCCACACCAAACTCATCCAACAATGTCTTTGTGGACCTTGCTTTGTGCACTGGGGCACAGTCATGCTGGAATAGAAAAGGGCTTTTCCCACAAAGTTGGAAGAATAACATTGTCCAAAATGTTTTGGCATGCTGCAGCATTTCCCCTTACTGGAAATAACGGACCTAGCCCAACCCCATTCCATTATCCCTCCTTCACCAAACTTTACATTTAGCACAGTGCAGTCAGGCAGGTAACTTTCTCCTGGCATCTGCCAAATTGTTTAAAAACTGTGAGTACAGTATGCTATTATATTAAGACATGTAGATAAGAAAATGTGCTGCACAACAGGAATGAGCCTTTTATCAATGAATAACAGTGGTAATCAACATGAGTAGCCTACCAGTGCTGACTGGTCATAAACACAGGGGTGTGAGAGAGCACTGTCCTCTTCATCCTGTCCATCACAAATCATTGTGCACCTTGAGGAGACATATAGTTCTGGACTGATTAACAAGATCTCCTGCTTATTTACAAACCAGCTCATCTTTTGCGTTACGATAAAAATGGAAATGTATTTAAGCAACCATGCATGCAGCGACGACAGGCACAGAGCAATTATTGTGAAATAATCGTCAATATAACGGACATTTTGCAACACTTCAGGTCAAGCGTTTCCTCTGACTCACCCGGACCACAGCGACGCTTCAAATCAGGATCCAGCAGTCGATAACTAGGCCTTTATTTAATATTAATCACTGGATTGTGGATAATCATTCCTCTATGGCGCCCGAAACAGTGTTTAATATCCGCAGTCGCATTGAGCGCGTCGCGAAACGCTGTGGTGAAACGCTTCCTGAGCGCGTCAGACGCTCATGGCAGAGCCCTGCAGACAGACATGTTTGACGCGGTGACGGGCTATCGACGGGCATTCTTTGACGCTGTTACAATAAAAGCCCTAAGATGCCTGTGTTAAAATCACAGTGCTGCCTTCTAGTGAGAAAACAGGACAGGTTTAATGCTAGAGGCGGTTTTCATACACCAGATGATCTTGTGATGACGATACAGGCTTATAAAGCGAAATTAAGTTGATGAAAATGGGACACGACGTGTAATCATGTGGATTACATCTAAGTGGTTACAATGCCATCGTCCGAATTTTGATTGAGAATTATATTGTGATTTTATAACGTGAATTATGACGTCTGTGAAACTGTTTGTGTTTAACAAAACAATCAAACGCGTTTACAAAAAATGTTTTCATAAGAGCTGAGGTTCTGCTGACATGGTCACAAACCAGCAGAGAAAATGCACAATAATATTATAATTGAGTAGTTTGAGTAGTTCTTTCAGATAGCTCGTTCAAATTATTTTAATTAATATAAATATCTTCTTAGAGTAATTTGGAATACCTGTAATCTTTCGTTGCATTAATAAATAAAAAATAAAAAATTTATACTCAAACACGGCAAAAAAGGCAACATAAACTCAAACTAAACTAGAAATGCACTCATTTAGATTTTGTGACAACTATCTCATCATATATGACAGTGTAAAAAAAAACCTGAAATTTAAATTTATGTATTCAAATTGTCCAGTGTGGATGCAGATCATACAGGTTTTCGTGATCTGCTGTTGGTATTAAAACATGTAATATACAATAAATGGACAAAAGTATTGAGACACCTGATCATTACACCTTCAGGGACTTTAACGACATCACGTTCTAAATGCATATGGAGCAGATGTGACCTAATTGGGTGTGTTACCCAATACCTGTGTCCCTTAGAGAGACTTGTAATCCGAAGGTTGTGGATTAAATTCTGAATAAACAGAACTGAACCCCCCTTTACAGCTACAACAGCTTCCACTCTTCTGGGAAGGCTTTCCACAAGATTTTGGAGTGCTCCTGTTGGAATTTTTGACCACTCATCCAGTAAAGCATTTGTGAGATCAGGTACAGATGTTTGACAAGAAGACCTGACTCACAATCTCTGTTCCAGTTCATCCCAAAGATGTTCCATTGGTTCCACACCAAACTCATCCAACAATGTCTTTGTGGACCTTGCTTTGTGCACTGGGGCACAGTCATGCTGGAATAGAAAAGGGCTTTTCCCACAAAGTTGGAAGAATAACATTGTCCAAAATGTTTTGGCATGCTGCAGCATTTCCCTTTACTGGAAATAACGGACCTAGCCCAACCCCATTCCATTATCCCTCCTTCACCAAACTTTACATTTAGCACAGTGCAGTCAGGCAGGTAACTTTCTCCTGGCATCTGCCAAACCCAGACTCGCCCATCAGACTACCGAACAGAGAGGCGTGATTCTCACAGAACAGGTTTCCACTGCTCCAGAGTCTATAGTGGCATGTGCTTTACACCGCTCAATCCAATGCTTGCCATTATACTTGGGTGATGTGAGGCTTGCGTGCAGCTGCTCAGCCATGGAAATCCATTCCATGAGGTTCCCGCCACACAGTTTTTTTTGTTGACAATAATGTCAGGGGAAGTTTGGAACTGACTTTATGTGGTCTTCTGCTTTGTGACTGAGTTGCTGCTATTCCTAATGCTTCCAATTTCCAATAATACCACCAACAGTTGGCCATGGAATATCTAAAAGGGATGAAATTTCATGAATTGTATTATACATTTTAATGAACTGACTTACTGCAAATTTTTTCACAAATGTTTGTAAATGCAGCCTTCTTGGCTAGCTCCTTGTTTTTATACAGTGGGTCTGATTGAAACACCTGAATTCAGTAATTATGAGGTGTGTCCCAATACTTTTGTCCATATAGTGTATATTCAGTAACTTAATCATACAACAAGTACTCAGATACATAAATACATCTCCCACAATGTTTTAATAATTTTATGTTTTATTTTTATGTATAAAATGTGGAATTTCTCTGACATGGTTTGCGACAAGTAGAATGACCCATTGACATTGTGCTTGATAATGCAATCAATCAATATTTGGCTTTATTGAGAAAGGAGGACATATGTTTAACAAGAAGAGCACTGCAAATGTTCACTGAACCCATCAAACTCGTGTTAACTCAAGTTTTATTAGTCACAGCTTTCAAAACATGATGGTACGATGACCCATTGACATTGTGCTTGATAATGCAATCAATCAATATTTGGCTTTATTGAGAAAGGAGGACACATGTTTAACAAGAAGAGCACTGCAAATGTTCACTGAACCCATCAAACTCGTGTTAACTGTTATTAGTCACAGCTTTCAAAACATGATGGTACACCACTTCTGCTCCTGAAGTCAAGCTGAAAGATATTTTACTGGAACATGCAGTAGTGTGCGGCACAGTAGCCTAAATGCATGCAGGGTCACTGCCAAAGAAAACATGAGAAAAACAACACGCTACAAAGAAAAGATTTGGAATTCATAGAGAAACTGTGCAAAACAACATAACATTACAATCCTTTTCTGAATCAGTCTTGAACCCAAAAGGGCTGGGTAAGAACATGAGGCATTTGGCTGAATGAAACTCGACAACATAATTATATTATGTCTGTGTAAAGTTCCTCCATTGCCCTAAAGTACTCCCACAACAATAAGACCCCTGAAGCAAGGACGCAAGGCAAAAAAGGAGAAAAAAGAAAGCTACAATTTTTACAAACAACACAGATACACTTATTATAAGCACCATGAATTTAACATCTAGATTCAACCTTCCCATTTCAACATCCCATCCAAACTTCACTATTAATAATAAAACATAAACTAATATAAAATAATAGCAATATAACAGTACATATCAATAATACTATTATAAAAGTGTCAAGCAAACAAAGAGCCCTTAAAAAGTGAACTGATAATGGTAAGAATTCACTGTAAAACACTTACGAAACAATGAACATTATTATGGTTTTGTAAATAGAGCCAACTGTAAGAGATCAAATTCCACAAGTTTCTTTTTGATTTTTCCATTACTTATTTTTATTGCTCCTTCCTTTTCTCGTTCAGGTCAGTTCACATCAACTATATGAGGACTATAAAGATAACGATAACTATATTAGCATCCACACCGACAGCCAATAACATTCTGTTCATTAAAAGCATGCTGCAGTTTTGTTGTCTGCCCCTTTAAATGCTTGATCTCTTTATAATGTTGATTCTGATTGGCTGTCATCAATCGGTCTGATAGTGATTCCAAAAATAATGTTCCTCTGTGCCGTTTTCGTTATAGTTGTGGTTTGGACTGTGCTATTCTTTTCATTTTATTCTTTAAATTTCATTTCATTTTTAAAACTATATCTTTATCATTATAGTTAGCATCCTTGGTGTTAACTTTAAAATTCATAAACGAATACATCCAAAGATACATAATAAGAATTATTTGCAAACACTGTTTGTTGACACCATTTTGGCCCACTTTCTCCAAGTGTCTTCTGTTCTGTTTCAGTTCCAGCATTGGTATTTGTCCCCAAATCTCTGTTTTCATCCATTCTCTATTTCTTATAGTTTCCGAACTGAATGGCCAATCGGTCACCAACGCAGCGAAAGGTGGCAGGCTGTACCTCCCAGTAGTTAACCGGGTTGCCATAGAGGCTAATGCCATTATAGAAGTTCCTCTTCATGCCGAAACCTCGAGGGCAGAAGTCATTAACATCCACTCGACTTATGTTGTTGGAATGAAGGTAGACCACCTGAAAAAGAAGCAAAAATCAATGATTGTGCTTGTGCAAATGGGACACTTTTTGTTCATCAGTTTGATATCTCGCACCTGCAGGTACTTCATGTCTGGCAGACCCATGGGGATGCGGTTCAGCCGGTTGTTTTCCAAATGCAGCTCCCTGAGATTAGGGACATATGATAGGCTGCCGTTCTCAATCATCCGGATGTGGTTGAAACCCAGACCCAATCTGGCAAACAATGAATAAGCAATAGACAATAGATGGGCTGCACACATTGTGACAGACATCTAGTGAGGTGGAAACACAATAGACTGGAAACACTGTGAACAGGCACTGGGTCAACTGCAGCCCCGCAGGACAAGCTGCACTATATGCAGGATTTTTCAGGAAAAAGAGATTTGCTAGAGTTTGCCCAATATCAGGGTTATTTTATGTCTTTTTAATTTCAGTTTAGTTTAAGTTTGCTTTAATGGCACTGGGTCAACTGCAGCCCCGCAGGACAAGCTGCACTATATGCAGGATTTTTCAGGAAAAAGAGATTTGCTAGAGTTAGCCCAATATCAGGGTTATTTTATGTCCTTTTTAATTTCAGTTTAGTTTAAGTTTGCTTTAATGATACATAATGAATTTTTTTTTGTTTTATTTAAATTCCTTGATGTTTTCGTCCCATATAACTTACAAATTGTGTACACAATAAAATAAGAAAGAAAGAAAGAAAGAAAGAAAAATAATACCAACTAAATTATTAAAAAATCATTTGTCAAATTTATATTAAAACAGCTCCAGTACTTGCTGACAATGAAATGTGCCATTGTGGGTACATTTAGCAGTAAATTTGTAACTGCCATCACTCTGGCATCTCTAGGACATCTATGATTCAGCACCGTCAGATGGGCCATGCAGGAAAACAACTAGTCACTGGATTTGCCAAAGTTAGCAAATTCATGGCATATAATCTTTTAAGTATAGTTACAAATTTATTTTGAGGTCATTTGGATTGACCATATGAGAATTATTTGTTTTGTGTTGTCTTTGCATTGTTTCATGGCTTAACTTGACTGCTGAACGCTGGTTTATTATTGTGATTTCAGACCAATCGTCATCAAATAGGGGCAGGTTGTATACATAAGACAATCCCACTCTCTCTAGTTACTAGTATTTGATCCGAGTTCACTTTTTGGAGTCCAAGACATTAACCAATTGAGTTGGGAGACGTTTATTAATGTCTTGTTAACTTAACTATGTTGTTACTTATTTTTTTATCTTTCATGCGACACGTCCGAGTCCAAGTCCGAGTCCAAGTGCCCCAACTCTACTAAACTCTATACCAGACCATCTAGAATTTACAAAAAAAAAAAAAACTTTCTCTGTAGTATTATTTGTTTTTAGTTTGTTATAATGCACACTTATGGTTTCAATTTAGATTTTTGCAAACATCTATTTTCTTATTTTATTTAAAAATATTGTTTCCTTGCAAGCTTTTGTCAGCACAATAGTTTTAGTTAACAACACTTCTGAGATTACTCAAATTAAACTGGCAATTTTTGTGAAATTTAAAGGATAATACTTGACTCCGGGTGAAATAACTGCCGCTGTTTTCAGTAAAAATAAAGAGATTTCACAGAATAATAGATTGTCAGGAGCCTAAGATGGCAAACATAGGGTCTATAATCACCTATGATTTTGTCTCTACAAAATGAACTTATGATTAGCATTTTGTCCCCCCCCCCCACATTATTAAAATTTCATACAGCAGGTGGCGCTGTTGCTTTATGGCTAGGAAAAGCCATGTTGTGTGTTGGAGTGCAGGAGAGTCATGAGTGGCTTCACCTGTACAGGTGTTTATAGCGGCTAAGGTCCTCCAGTTCGATGGCTTGGATCTGGTTATTGTCCAAGTGGAGCTCATGAAGACTGTCAGGGAGGTCTGGGAGGTGAGGAACATTCCTCATTATATAATTGGAAGTAGCACCACACATTAAAACTCATGCAAACTGTGATTTATGACCAAGGATATTCCTAAAGCTCATTCAAGTGAGAAACTGCACAGAGTAACAGTATTACCCAAATGTTCTTTTTGAAAATAAATACGATCCTATCATTTGACAAGTGTTCACACTTTAATGACTTTTATGAATATTATAAAGAATCACCTTTTGGTATTCCAGTGAGTTTGGACTCAGAGATGCGCAGGTAGTTGAGTTTCAGGCCTTTAAAAGCGCCAGGCTCAAAGCCGCTGTTCTGAATAGGGTTTCCGCCCATCTCTATAAGAAGCATTCAACATCAGACAGAATATCCCATCACAAAAACCAGCAGGCTCCATCTAAAAAAGGAAATGGTTTGGTCAGACTGTAACCTCTATACCACATAATGGCGAGCGCGCATACAAACCAATGCAGTTCATGCTGCCCAGACCAGAGAACGTTCCTTCTGCAACCTTCTTAATACGGTTCTCATGAATGCGCAGCTCCACCAGGGACGGGGGAAGGTTCTTGGGTACCACTGTCAGGAGGTTACGGGAAAAATAAAGCTTTTTTAAGCGTAGGAGGGGTGTGAAGGCTCGCAGGTGGACTTTGGAGATCTTGTTGTTGACCAGTGACAGAGCCTGGCAGGAGGCAGGAAGACGTTAGCATTTGGTTCATGGAAAGTCATGAAGACATGATTAATAACAGCTTGACCATGAGCATTAAATATGTACACAAAATCAAATGACTTATAAATGATGTTATAATTTAATGTCTTGGTTTTTTTTGCTTTACAGGCCATGTCAAATATTGTGTTTTGGTGAGAGAGGCTGAGTAAATATTAGGGATAAATATTGGGGATAATATGAGTTCTCAGAAGGGAACTAAAACATTCAGTTTGGCACTGGCGTGTGTTTCCCGAACTACAGGAGCATTCTTCTTCAGAGACTTGAACTGTTTGAACATCCTGTCAGGCTGTTTTGCACAAACGTAAAGTAACGTGTGCTGCGAACGACAGACCAATTTTTCAGGAGCTAGCCAAAACATGCTTGTCTCGTTGTTTCTTATGTAAAATAAACATCTTAAATATTAATGTTAAAATGCAAATATTCAATCTAAATCTACAGCATTAAAGTAAATAGTGACATTTTTAGCTAATATGGAGCTTGATGGGCTGCATCAGCCAACGGCGAATAAAAAAACACAAAAAATCAAGCTGTGAGACTGGCACACATCAGTGAACAGCACAAGAAACCATCCATAAATTTACAGTATTATGAACTTTTCAATTTGAATAATATGTTAGTGTTTTGAGGAACACCAATAAGCCAAAAGGTTTTTGCAACAATTTGCACTTTATTTTATATTAAGCCTCATCTATCTTAATTTTTCTCACTTATCTCATTATTAACGGTGAGTAGAATTTATTGCTTGACCTTCACCCTCTCTAGTTCTCATTTCTTTGATCAGTATCAGTGTCTTACATAGAGGTTTGTAAGTCCTTTGAAGTCATTCTCCTTCAGTTCTGTGATGCGGTTGTTCTGTAGGTCGAGGAGTTTGGTGTCTCTGGGAATTTCCTTGGGCACTGCAGTCAAACCTAAACATGAAGACAAAATGTTTACAGCTAATTTAAAGCTCGTAGGATATAGAGCATACAGATCTGTATACAAACGTCTGAACAGAGAGACCATTAGCTCACCATCTGGTCATGACAGGGCTTCTTATTCGACATCAAAATAACAGAATTAAATAGTGAACACAATTAAAAATCTTAACAATTACAGCATGTCTTTGACAAGACGTTTAGTTCGATATAACCCAGTTATTGTGGCCAACTGTGTGCTTATTGGGCATTTTCAATTCAGTGTCAGGTTTATATTTGCATTAGTGTATCTTTATATTAGAGTGACCTGATGATGTTCTGCCACCACTTTAAACGTGCACTTTAAAAATCATTTAGGTTCTTTTGCCACACATGGACCACATCACAAAACTCCAGCAGGACCACATCAAAGCACAAATCTAGCATTGTGTCTGTTTTAGCACTGCAGTGTCCAAGATTCTAAATCAGGCCAATGATTCATGATGATTTCCAGCAGAGCCCAATAATTTATACTGGGCTGGGTTCAACCTCTGTTCCCCTCCAGCCATTTATAATGTTCTTAAGAACCACAACTGCCAAGCCATCTAGCTTCCAGCAGGAGCGAAAAGTAAAATCAATGAGATATTAAGCATATCAAAGAAATATATTGATATGTGGCCTGCAGTCATTTACCACAGAAAATCATTTTGACTTGTTTTTTATTAGTAAAAAAACATCTTCTGGATACCATAATCAACTCAAGCTTTTTCACAAAGAAGACTTTTGTGTTTATGTGTGTCGTAGTGTTTAATATACTCTTTATTCAGATCTAGGGAACTGCCATCATCACATTAGCTAAGTATTTTTTGTTTGGAATTTATATTTTTGAAAATGTCATCATAAAGTGAACCTGTGGCGATTTACATTCGCAATGTACACTGAACACAAACTTTCATCCCAGGTGTCCGGTTTCTTGACGTGCCGCATACTTTTTGTAGGGAACACATCAGCATGCTGTGATATCAGTCTTACACAGTGTAGAACATGGTAAACAGCACGTTTACGCTACCATAAAAAAAAATAAACATTTTAATGAAACTATACTTTTATTCAGCAAGGATGCATTAAATTAATCAAAAGTGGCAGTAAAGACATGTTTAATGTTACAAAATATTTCTACAGTATGTCAGATAAATGCTGTTCTTTTGAACTTTCTATTTATTAAAGAATCCTGGGAAAAAAGTATCATGGTTTCGACAAAAATATTAAGCAGCACAACCATTTTCAACATTGATAATAATAAGAGTTAAAATAACATATTGATAATAATAAGAGTCAAAATAACATATCAAATCAACATATTAGAATGATTTCTGAAGGAGCATGTGACACTGAAGACTGGAGTAATGGCTGCTGAAAATTCGGCTTTGCATCACAGGAATAAATTGCATTTTAAAATAAATTCAAATAGAAAACACTTATTTTAAATTGTAATAATATTTCACAACATTATAGTTTTTACTGCATTTTCAAACAAATAAACAATAGTGTAAATGATGCAGTCTTTACATTTGTTTTTATGTTATTTTATGTTAGCAAATAATATTAAGAATACTAGAATTAGAACTAGAACAATCAGGCACTGAAGAGAGCGCCCATTAACAGTTTGATTAACCAGCAGAACTGCTTTTGGGTCCAAGGGCGGTAAAATATTGCACAATAATAGCAGAACATCACGTATGAGCATTAAATATTATTTTAAAACTTAATTTCTAAGAATAGTAATCATTTATGAGGTTCTTGTACACAAAATAAATTATCCCATAGAATATCTTGAGTTCAAGCCATTTTAAGCCAATGTACTATGAGCTCCAGTTGAAGATCTTTCCTGTTTTCCTTTTACAATAGTTCTTCTTCCAAGCCATCTGCCCACCTGCCACTCAAACCAACAAGTGCTCAGTGACCAGCCGACCGCTGACAAACACAATGCCAAACCCCAGAGCCCAGCACATCGCAGCCCCCAAACCACAGCTCTGCACACATATACACCCCCTAATAGGAACATATTTTATGATGAAGGCACATAACCACCTAAATTTATACACAATTATAAACATCTGATTTGAATAAACATCACCATCAATTCAATTACAGCCTACATGGCAGAATAACGTCCAGATACGAAAGAAAATAAAAGAGTGCAGTGGACGGATCAATGTATTACAAGCAAACCTTCATCACAGTGGGAGGAAGCATAGAAAGAACCGCCTAAAGCGAGGGCTGTATTTTTCGATTTTTATATCTAATCCACAAGCATAAACAAAGATGCAATGACATTTGCGAAAACAAAAACACTTGCAAAGACCAAAACACATGGCATAAAGCATTCATGCACATATGCAAACACAGTCAGACATGCACAAACTAAAAAGGAATACATATAATTAAAATAATAAGCTCCAAATTCCTAAAGTTCTTGTTGCTTCAATGGCTGTAAATGTTCTATGAGGATCATAGCTTGGGCAAAATTGGCTGGAGAAAGAAAGAGCGTGTGTATCCGTAAGTATGACTATAGGGTTACAGCGGAGATTCAGTGGGTGCTGTTGGTGCCATGAAGAAAAAAAAATACACAAACTGGGCAAATTTGTCAGGCTTTATCCAATTTCTGGAGCCTGCATCTAACCCAGGCCTTCTCACTTTCCCACATAATAAAAAGGCAAGCTCCGCCATCTGCTTTATGGGTGCACACATGCATGGTGGTTGGTTTGTTCGTTTTGTGTTTATATAATTATTGTACATGTTTGTCAATCCACAGTTTATGTATTTAGATTTGAGTGAACTGAGTGATCACTGAAAAGCATAACATTCACTTGAATGACAACAAGTTCCTACAAGGTGAGGGTAAATGGTTAAACCAATCAGTTCAGTTAACAGTAAAGTTTCCTCTTTGACTGGTCTGTTATTCCCTATCCGTGGAAAAGAAAACAAGAGCATCTAGAAGAAATCACAATGAAATTAAGTGGTCCCTGTCAAACCCCTCAATAATTTTTTTAGGCCCAAATTACCACTTTTGTGGATGTACTGTTGACAAGACATAACCCAAGACTATTTCCGACCTTCTCTTTCTCCCTCTCACATTCCTTCTCACTTTCCCCGTCTATCTCTCTCAAACTGTCTTCCTGTAAAACATCCTGTGTGTGTCATAAAAACAACACAGAACCACTCCTACAGTTCAATGGAAAACACAGGCATTTTTCATTGTTTCCCATTCAGGCCCCAGTTTTCTTAAGAGACAGAACTACAACAAACACTTGTTCATAAACGACTGTTTTTGCCTGTTTGGATGTGGGCTGTTAAACAGTCTCTATAAGGTGCTTTTAATAAGGAATTGAAACAATTTAAAGATTTGATGATTTATTGTACAGTTCATGTAAATATGTTTAATGATTATTGGCCCATTCACACTAAGAACAATATAACATTATATATTAGATATACATTAGAAGATAGATAACTGTAACACTGACTATATTAGTGTCCACACCAACAGACGATACCCTTCCTTTTATTTTAAGCCTGTGTTACTGTTTTGTCATCTGCCGCTTTAAATCTTCAAGCTGGATTCTGATTGGCTGTCAATGTTTTTATCGTTCATGAGCTGGAAAAATCATTCTGAAAGTGATGATAGATAGATAGATAGATAGATAGATAGATACTCACTTAGGTCTGAGCATTGCACCACATTGAGCTGACAATGGCATCCAAAGGGGCATAAGGACACATCTGGTGGCAGCTCCTCTACAGCTGAACCCTCTTCATCTCTCATCATTACCGTTGTCAGATCTCCCACTTCTCCATCCATAGCAAAGTCCCAGAATCCTCTCTGCTCAAAGGGCAGAGCCAGTGAGGGAGCAGTCAGGCTGCAGACACTGAGCAGCAGAAGCAGGAGAGAGCGGCAGGAGAACATTGCAGAGATACAGAGACTTACACACACGGACCTGCACCATGAGAAGACAAAAAGAGATTAATCATTAGTTAATTTAATTTGACACAGCTGTTTTTATTCGTAACTGTGTGTATCCTGTTCTGTGTGGGATTGTCATAAACTTTCATTAAAACTGAGTCTTTACTTTCTTTGGAGCTGAATGTGTTAATGTGTTAATTACGCAAGGGACAAAGTAGTTACTTAAGACTCTATGTCCTCTCTTCAAGTTCAGCCCGCAACCCATTTCCTTAGCTCTGTTTATAATAATTAAGACAGTTTTCACAAAGTACATCAAAGGAACAGGATGGAACTAGGATGTTATTTGGGGTTCAGGAGGATATTGTAACATTGCCATCTGAATATGAATACATCATTCAGCATTGCACATGCCCTCACTGAGAAACACTAAAAGCTTTGACATGGACATGTAAACATTACTCAAAAGCAGAGGTGTAAGAGTACCTAAAAACCATACTTGAGTAAAAGTACAGATACCAGGCAGTATCACGTCTTTTGTAGCAGAAATAAACTGCTGCAGAAAAAGCTAGGTCCATGCAAAATTTAATGTGTAACTGCAACACTCATTTCAAATGTAGTGGAGTAAAGAGTTCAGATCCTCATTCAAAATTGTAGTGAAGTAGAGAGTAAAAGTTGCTAATATCTTTGATACTCAGTACAGCTACAAAGTATCCAAAAAGATACTCAAGTACAGTAACTAATTACATTTACTCCAATACTTTACACCTCTGCTCAAAAGTACTAAAAGTACTATTATTTAAAAGTGCATAAGTGCAAAAGTGTCTGATGTTAAAAATATTTGAATGAGAACAACTTTTTAGTTTCTTTTGGTATCAGCTGCTGACATTTAAAAAAAAATTAAGCAAAGGGGAAACTAAAGAGACAAGCGGTGAGTCTGTGTCTGTAGGACAGGTCTGGTCAGACGGTGTGTGGTGGTGGAAAAAACTCAAACTGGCCTTCTTAAAACATATCTTAAAACAAGCCATTCATTAGACAGGAAGGAGGTAGGATGGGGATATTTCTGACAGTCTCTGTTTGTGTGTGTGACTAAAAGGGTGGGGAGCCACTCATGATGTCATTTCTCAATGTCTTCCAGCTGAGTCCTGTGATGTCACCAGACATTTTGGGGCTAAGATGTGGTTAAGGATCTGGGGTCCGCAGAACCCACCAGAGGACCACACTGATACCTTAAACATGGGCCTGTAACCTAAACCGCAAACCCTAATTCAGCCACATACACCCCACCTGTCAGTTCCTGACTTAACCTTGGCCTGTGTGTTGAACCTGATCAAACCGAGGTCTAAAATTAAAGCCAACACCTGTTCTAAACCCAAATCAACACCCTAAATCATGCATACTCTAATAGCTCACACTGAATGTGATATCTCATGGCAAAAGCTCAAGCAACATAACATTACAATTAGGCCTATCCTTTAAATCCAACCAGCTGGGGAAAAAAATCAGTTAATCTCACTGCCATCATAGATGATTGTCTTCACAAATGAGTCGCAACACTTTTAGTCCAAAGTATTCCCTATACATGCTGGGAAGAAACACATGTGGATGAGCGAGAGGAGCCAGATGTCAGAGGATGACATGTGTCCCAAGAGAGAAACCCAATGTCTACCCATCACAATTTACTGCCACATTCAAATATGTTCCCTCAACAACATTATAAGTCAGGAAGTGAAGACTGAAAAGGTATGAAAAGTGTTCAAAATCCCAGACACTCAATCAAACTGAAATAAACAGTCTCAATTACTATGGATGGATCAAATGGAAAACACAAAAGTAGCTCTTTAAAGTTAATTTAAGTTTCCTGAACTTTGTCTCTGTCTTTTGAGTTTGTCCTCAACTTTAAGAGAAATAGTAATAGATACAGGAAGATTACAATATAATACATGGATATTCATTATATATAATATGTTCTATCCTTTGAACCCAAGTAGACCTCCCATGAACTTTACTAAGTTAAATAATGTCTGCTGTAACAACATTACAGCAGGCATATAATATAATATAATATAATATAATATAATGTATTTTCTATCCTATGGATCCAAGAAGACCTCAGATGAACTTCATTTTTTGTTTATTGCTAAGTTAGATAATATCTGCTATAACATTTGTCATTCAGAGGTGAACAATGAATTGAGGGACACCTCTAACTCAAAGAACTAGCCTCAGTTCCTATTTATGCATAGCAAACTCACAGTAAAGACTCCCACATTAAGCTTAGAGGGATCCCACACAAATGTTGTTCATGTAAATGTGTCAGTTGAGTCCTTTATGTCTCCCATTCCACACAGCGTCTGTGACTAATGAGCATGGATGCTTTTGCCGTTCCCCTTGGCTACTCTTCAATCATTTTCTGTGAACATTCACACTGTTGTCTAGGTCTGAGATCTTTGAAATGACTACAAACAGACATTTACATAAAAAAATTGTCATGGTGCCTGACAGTTCCCAGAGCTGACCATATGTAGCTGATCCAAACATTTCCTAAATATCAGTTCATCCAAGGTACGCATTAAAGCCTCCAATGGGATATCCAATGGAATCCCATTCTTTATGCTGACATGCCAACATCTATGTGTGTTCCTCTCATATCGTCTGCCCATCTTTCACTTTAAAGTCAAACACATAGGAAAGCGACAGCCGTTTTTTATGCCTCTGACCTGGAATAAAAGCAAAGCGGGAAGAAAATGTACCCATTTGTAAAAATAGTGGCTAAATTATACCACGCTCCCAAAGAAGGTCTGGTTTGGACTGGCCAGAGGAATGCGAGGAGAGGGCTGAGGCACAATTACACACAAGTCCTTGCATCCTGTTCTTCACGGAAGAGTTTGAAAACTATATGCGTTATTTATGAACACAAGCACCATAATACTGGTAAGTATATGTGCTGTTTTTATGGGATAAAATACTTTTGCACTTCCAAGCAGAAATTCTTTCATTAGAAGCTGCTCAACAAAACGAGGTGTCTTGAGTGGGATCTCAATAGTTATGTTCGCACATATACAAAAATAAATACAATTCTGCATGGCTCCATACTGCAAATAAAACGGTCACAAACGTGACAGAAAGTGTCTAAGAATCAGTACAATCTAATTGGGAAAGCTTTGTCTTTTGAATGTTCTCTGAGCATTCTGAAACAAGTAGTAACATTTAAAAAATGTTAGACGAACATGCAACTTTTTTGTTTCAGAAAAAAAGATTCCATGAAAGATGTATAAATGACGTTTTTGTGCTAATGTTTTGAGAACATTAATAAAGCCCAGATAACTGAGAACTAACATTCTGTTAATGTTCCTGGAAGAATGTTTGTTCACAACTTTAAGAGAACCTGTTAAGAATGTTACCTGTTAGCTGGGCTAGTGATTCATGAACAAATGACTCTTAAAGGGATAGTTCACCCAAAAATGAAAATTACCCCATTATTTACTGGCCCTCAAGCCATCCTAGGTGTATATGGCTTTCTTCTTTCAGACAAATACACTCGGAGTTATATTAAAAAATGCCCTGGCTCTTCCAAACTTTATAATGGCTGTGAATGGTGGTCAAGATTTTGAAGCCCAAAAACGAGAGAGTAGCGTTCCAGCGGATGAAGTAGCGCTTTTTGGGGGCTTCAAAAAATATCACTATGTCATATACACCTGGCTTGAGGGTGAGTAAATCATGGGGTAATTTTCATTTTTGGGTGAACTATCCATTTAAGAACCAGTTCTTTATAATGAGTAAGGATTCACGAAACAGCCTCAAACTCACTGGAGAGTGAATCACTTATCCATTCATTGATTAGTTCAGAGTCATTACTGATTTAACTGACTTCCTCACTGAAGTGTCATTTTTTGGAGAAGTCTGATTCAAAATGAACCAGAGCCATTGATTTCTAATTTAGTGAGACTTACATAGTATGTTAAGACCTGAGTCAAACCTGTTAGTAAATACACTTGTGAATCCCAAATTGTGACTGTGTGAAAGCAGCCAATAAGCAAAAGTCACACACATCTTAAAGCCTTTGACAAAAACATACAAACATTAGCTGAAACAAGGATAATCTTTTCACATGGCCTTAGCCAAAAACATCAGTGGACAATCCAAAGCTCACAGCACTTATCACTCCAGTCTAATGACACAGTCCTCTCCAGAACGGTGACTTGAAGAATGGCATGGCCTAGGCATAACAACCACTTCTGCTGCTAATTGCACAGCACATACTCCTCAATGTGGAACGCAGACAGCTATTTCTATCACTCAAAATGTCAGTTAGTTTTAAAGTTACATGTGACAGAAATTAAGAGAGAGTGGTGGTATACAGATGAGAGAGCAGCTGCTGATGGCAGAAGCAAGGTGAAAGTGAAAGTGCTGTATTCTCTTAAGATGATTTATGTCTGCATAAGCTGTTTTCTGCTGGTCCAGTTGGACCAGAAGTACAGATTGTTACTCGCATTAACAAATTTTCTCTGGCCCCACCTGTTCAAAAGTTTGGGGTTTTCATTTATTTGGTCAAAAATACAGTAAAAAGGGTAATATTGTGAAATATTGTTTTCTGTTTTAAAATATTTTAAATTGTAATTTATTCCTTCAGTGTCACATGGTCCTTCAGAAATCATTCTAATATGCTGATTTGGTGCTCGAGAAACATTTCTTATAATCAATGCTGAAAACAGTTAATACTGCTTAATATTATTACAATATTAACTTTTTTTCATAATTCTTTGATAAAATAAAAAGTTTAAAAGAACAGCATTTGAAATAGAAATCTTTTGCAACATTATAAATGTTTTTACTGTCACTTTTGATCAATTTAATGCACCCTTGCTGAAAAAAGTGGTAATTTCTATACAATTTAAAAAAAACAACAACAACACTGACCCCACACTTTTGAATGGTAGTGTATAATGGTAGTGGATGCCTGATTTCTGTTGATTTGTTTTCCTCTTTGACAAATATATAATATTTAGATCTTGGGCATCAATACATGTATTTTCTCTTAATTAAAATAATTAATTTCTGTCTAAATCTCCACCTAGTCTGGTGTTACTGAAGAAGACAGACAGTAATTAACTAAATGTCAGATTTTAATAATAGAGTACACAGCAGACGCCTCTTAAGAAATGACAGAGACTGAACAGTGCCCACACAGAGATCTCTCTGAACACAGCAGCATGTTTCCCATGATTACTGTAATAATAATAATAAAACACAACAATAACACATTAGCCAAAAAGGGAATTTCCCTCCACACTGTGAGGCGTGTGTTTATGTCAGATTTGTATGTCTTTAAGATTCATTTAAAGAGTTAAGGCTGAAAAACTACAAGCCAAAGACTATGGCATGTCTGCCATTGAGTTTTCCAGTGAGCTGAAATTTATAAATAAGACAAGAGATTACACATCTGAGACAACATCACAAGAAAACATCAGAGGAGTTCAGAAATATGAAAGAGTGCTCCATCAGTATCTACTCCTGAGTCCTGACCTCCTCACAGGATGTTTTGTTTAAAAGCAAACAGTACAGAGTTTTGTTTTATAACTAGGCGGTTATCATTAGAAATGTTTTGACTGTGGCTTTGTTAAATCTATAACGCATACTAAATTCAGTAGACCTTAGTTAGGGTAGTGCCATGTTCAATTTTTGACAGGAATGCAAATGAGGCTGTGAGGGACAGAAGTACAGTGCGTTCAATGGCTTGTACTGTTGTTTAAAAACATATCAACTGTTCAGCTGACAAAAAAACCTTTCAGTGGACAAAATACGGTAGCACTTTATTTTACAGTCCTGTTCCGCATGTACATACTATGTTCTTATTATAGTAATTTCAAAAATTGGGTAAAGTACTAACCCTAAACCTAACCTTAACCCATGTAGTTACCTTATATTACCATTACTTTCTTAGGTAAGTACACGTATTCTTGCACTGATCCTCTACATTCAAATGAGATAATGGCAAAAGTCATAAAAATAAAATTAAATATCCAATAAATGGCTGATTAAAAAAAAAATAACACTAATATCAGCAAATAATATATCGTGCACATGATATGTAAAGCGTACTGATACTCAGATCAACAGCACTGTCTGTGCGTTATCTACAGACTGACAGTCTGTGCATTAGTGCTGGGGATTTGTCAGTGACTCTTTTTCTGCAGGTTACATCATTACGCAGTCGCTGACAGAAAGTGACTAGTGACAGTTTTCATGAGTGAGTCAATGAATCATTAATTCAACCGATTTAGAGTTTCATTTAGAAACGAAGCACCACCATGTTGGCCTAGCAAAACAGACAAAGTAGAGAGTGCCTAAAAAGTTAAGTGTGAGATTGCTTTATTAAAATAACTAATCAAGGTTAATCATCATTCTTTTCCTTTTTATGGAATGAACACATAATGAATTGAAGGTCTACAAATGTGCACTGATAACACTCATAGCAGAATATGTGGTACTTGTGGTGCGTTTCGTCTGTACTCGGAAGTAGGAAATTTGGAGTTCCCAGTATAGGAACTTTTAACTGGATTGCCGGAACTGGAATACTCGGAAACTGCATAAAACCCTGACTTTGGAATCCAAAGTGGCTGCTCAGTGCATTAACACTAGGTGAAAGAGTAGTCATATATTGTTTATTAGCACATCTCTTTGTCTATGTTTCAATAAACTCACACAGTACTATACAACTTCTATCTGTGGACATGATACTTCAGCATTATCTGTGAAAAATATGTGCATTTATCAACTCGTATTGCTAACAATTGACATGTCCATCTTGATTTTCTGACTTGTGTACTGGAATGCGGTCAACTCAATGTGACGTCATTCCCAGCTCCAACATCCGACTTCTGAGCTAAATGGAACGCAGCATTAGCGAGTCTGTTATTTACCCACAGTATTTCTGGTTTCTGGAGCTGTGATGGTACAGAAGACAAAAATGTTGGGAAACACTACTTGATCTTCAAGTGTGATTGTTAATCAAAAATTCCTTGACAATAAGAAGATGAATGTTGAGAGTTAAATAGCACTTCTCTAACTGACATACCAAAGTTGGAAGGAGGAAGTTGTTCAGTTTACTGCACTAACCGTGGGAGCCAGTGAACTCACATGACCTCTGTGAATCTGTGGTTGATTACATTAGTTAGAAAGAAGGATTTCTTTCAAAACAACAGCTTTGTCACATTAAATGTGGTCTGATAGGGAGTTCAATGACACACTTGATTTCAGTGTTCAACAGCCAATAAAAGTCTGACATCAGCAATCAAATATATGAAGATTTCCTATGTAATGTGTTCTCACAATTGAAGTCAATCATCTAAATTCAGCCGTTTTGTCTGTTGCATGCACACATGTATAGGTTACTTACTTTTCCCTCTCTCTCTCCTGACAAACCATTGGGTGGTGCTGGTCTCTATGTGCTTGGCAGGAATTAACTGCTGGCTTGACTGTAATTTGTTAACTTCAGTCCCTAAAAAAGCTTCTGCCTGGCAATGTCTATTACTGCCCTGCGTGAATGTGGTGACTGGCACAGCAAAAAGTGAAGGCAGACCTGATCAACAGAGCTGGTTGTTAAAAGAGTTATATTGAGTGTGAAGCAGTATTTAAAAAAAAAAGGGATATTGGCCATTTCCACAATTTGATATATAGGCAATTTGGAGATAGACCGAATAAGACAAAGTGAGGGTAAATTAAATGGACAAGGACAGAGATGCCCTGAAATTTGTGCTTTGAAACATGTGAGAAATGATTTAAACAATCAAATCAAACTTGTTGTAAATATATCATAAAACCTCATTATAAATCTCATAGAAAAGGGCAGGATTTTTATTATTATTATAAGAGCATCATGCACCTATTTTTAGGTGGTAGTAGTGCAATCATGCAGGGAAAAAAACACGTTATTAAGTAGTGTTCTCATACAGACTATATTTTTATGGATAGACATAAATAGACAGACAGAGAGAGAGAGAGAGAGAGAGAGAGAGATAGATAGATAGATAGATAGATAGATAGATAGATAGATAGATTAAATTGATTAAATTTAAGGTAGGACGAGAAATATTAATAAATTATAATTGCCACTTAAAATCAAAGTGATAAGCAAACAGAAGAAAAATATAAGGCAACATTTTCTAATTCTAAGTAGCTTATATCTTTACTTGTTTCTTTACATTTTGCGCATTTGTTTATAAACTAAAACAAACTCTGTAATGGATTTAAACTTAACACATTAACCACCCAAACACCAGGACATAATTTAGCGCACCAATAACTGCACAACTCGTTCATCATATCTGTGCATCTGAATAAACAGAGAGCAACAAGTTTGCACATGCATACATCTAAACTGAGAAAGTTTCACAAGCTATTGGTTTCATGAGAAACTTTATATATAAAGAGGTGAATTATGCAAATAATCAAAAACGGGTAAGTAGCTAGTCAAATGAAAATGACAGCACAAAACTAAACAAAAACAAGCAAAATAACCAAATAATAAACACTTACCTTAATTTGGGCTGCAATATATCCACACTTTGAGCTCCTGCGCCCGTATTTACCTTCAGTGTTTGTTATTTGGGCTTTAAAGCAAATATATTTTCTCTTCGGCGTGACTTGGTCTTCTAGTTTTAACGATCTTAACTAACTCCGGGTCATTTTGGTCCAAATGCCTGCTTTCCTCTTTTACATCACCTCAGTTGCCCAGTCCTTGGTTTTCCCACGGAACTGGGCTACTTTAAGGCCCAATCCCAATTCTATATCATATCATAAGTTTTAAAAGCTTTTATTGGCAAAAAATATATAATGAGCCAATATTTACAGTGTTGACCCTTGTTCTGATATGATTAGTCAATTAATGTTAGCTGGTCATTTTGTGTCAGGATCAAAAAACAGTGAAATTAGATTTTTTTGTGAAAAGTTAATTTTTTGGCCAATGAAGCTTTTAGCAATTATTTAAAATGCATCTGATCACTCTACACAATAATCTAGAAACAATGTGAATGAACACCACAACAGCTTAAGCAGCAAACTTTGCAAAACACAAAATTTATGTCACTGCCAAAACTTTTGGCCATGATTGTACAACAGACACGAGCGCTGTCGCGGCGTGACCACAACAGCTTGAAGTTGTCTAATTTGGCACGGTCTCCCTGCTGCACTAATAGTAATAGTAGTAAGGCTGTGTATACTTGTACAAGTACAATTTTAGCTGTGTTATTTGTGTCCCCTTCAAAAATTGCTCTTGAGAAATGTTATATTTATTGCAAGGGGACATCAGTGATTATGTTAGACAGTAGAGAGCTACATAATCCAATATGAAGAGTACTACTTTTCTTCATCATGATTTATGGATATGCTCATTTAATTCATGTAATGCTGAGCTATAGAAAGCACAGTTTAGCTCATGATGATGCTGTGTTTCAGGCCTGTTTCCTATTTACCATTGGCAACCTGCACTGTTATTCATTTCAGCATTTAGTTAATTCTACTGCCAGCACCCACTCACTGACTGCAGCTGGAGGAACGAGAACAGAAACTGGGAGATTTTCTGAAGACGATCAAGGAAAAACATTTTCCTGATGCTAAAGGGCACTAATTATATTTTTAAAACAAGAGCTACAATGTCAGTATGGATACTTTTCATAGTTTAACAGCTGAAATTCTGCCCCATCCGCTCCATCATGTATGGATCTTTTAGTATGATGGACTGTCCGCTTTGTCATTGCACACGTTTCCTCTGCCTTCATCTTTCTGTCAACTGTCCTGTGTGTGATCCTACAACTCTGAACTGTATATGAAGCTGGTCAGCAAAACTACACTGTGAATGGATGCAATGCAATGATGTAAGGAACGTGTCTGTGCATATTCTTGTACCGTGAACATGGTTTGCTTTCTCTTTTCTCACTCTTCCCATTCTCTTTTCACTCTTTATAATGGAATGCCCCATGCTTGGGTTCACTGTCCAGTAGGGGGTTTATAGGCCGCTGCCCTGTTCTTGCTCCTCTAATAACAAACACAGGAAGCTGCTGTCACTGCACAAGGGCAGAAAAAAGGACAACACAAATGGACAGAGAGTTTCTTACACTTATAAAGTAAAAAACACTGAATTTAAAACGGCATTTTATTTTTGTACAATGTGCTTTTGACTATTATAATATTAATTTGTGTTATTAACATAGCAGGTGCACGATAATGTATATATGATTTAACATTTATATGTAAGGCAAAAGCAGATGATTTTGCCCAAAGTTATTTACAAAAAGTACTGCTAACAGAAAATCATGTTAGAAGCACTGCATGCAAAGTAGCTGCAAGTTAGAGGAATAGTTCACCCAAAAATGAACATTTGCTGAAAATGTACTCACCCTCAGGCCATCTGAGATGTTTGTTTCCAGAACAGATTTGGCGAAATTAAGCATCACATCACTGGCTCACCAATGGGTGCTGTCAAGAGTCCAAAACAGCTGATCAAAACATCACAATAATCCACAAGTAATGCACATGACTCCAGTCCATCAATTAATGTCTTGTGAAGTGAAAAGCTGTATGTTTGTAAGAAACACATCAATCATTAAGAGGGTAAAACCATCTTCTATCCATAATATTGCTCTCTCCATTGAAAAAGTCATCTTGTCTGAATCAGAAGAGAAATATATTATGTACAGATCAAGCACTGTCCAGTTCTAAACAAATATGTCGGTGGATTTTCATGTGAGAGGGACAACTGAGGAAATTTCTCCAAAACTGTTCTGAAAACATAATCTTATCGTCTTATATCTCACAGGTTGACTTAACAGTAAATCTCACAAAGGTACACAGCCCCTAAATGGACATTGTGATGAAAAACATAAAAGTTTACAGGAAAAATCATATTTCAATGCTTTTGCATTTTGATGCTGATGCTTCTGATTCCAAGAAACTTTAAATTTGCTCACAAAAGCACTGAAACATAGTTTATCCTGCCACCTCATATTATTTCCATAACCAGCTCTGTTCACAAAAGCCAAAAGCAAAGTTTCTCATTTTGCCCCCATGACCATGTGCCATCAGGGGCTTTATTTCTTATACTAAGCTTTACCTAACAACTGCTTTTTTTTAGATTGTACCTTTTTTTTTTTTTTTACGGAAATGGGCTTCCATAAACTATTGATGAAAGAGATTTGTTTTGAGTTTGCATATGAACTTTAACAATTTAAAATATGGAATTCATCCAACTTACAAAATATTTTCTTCTAAATAAACGTAACTGACAAATCAGACATAAAATTAATCAGTGAGAATGAAATGTTTTTGCATGTCTGTGAGGATGTGTGAAGGCCAGCCTTGCCATTTTATATACACACATGTGAAAACAGCTTGAGCTGAATAAAGAAAGAACAGTGCTTGTCTGTGGGCCAAAGAGGATATGAAGGATAAGACGGATCTCCTCTGGCTTGAAAAAGCGTATCCTCAGTGCTCATGCTCTCATGCGGAGGAATCTGAGCCAGTCACATCTTATGCCATCTAATTAGTGAGTCCAGTTGACAATGGATCTCTGAATCAGTTATACACCACCCTACAGATGGTCTCCTGCAGTGATGCTATGAAGCTTATGACAAACAACAGAGAATGTATCATTTAAATTACAATACTGGGGAAGATGTTCAGATGGACTTAAGAATAAATTACATTTTAGTTTTATTTAAATATGCACCCCCCAAGCTAAAATCGCTCAGATGTCCTCTGAAAATCCAGCAGGACCATGAGCACCATAAATTTTGTTAGTTGCAGTGGCCACTTTCTTAGACAGTAAAGCACTGTTTTCAAAATGACTGTACACTTATGTCAAATTGTGGTTATTCTGCGTGCAGATCGGATAACTAATTGCACTGGCCAACTCAGCGGTGCTGCAATGTGTGATTACATGCTCAGCTGGGAGTTAGAGACAGAGTTGGTTTGTGGTACTTTTTGTAACAATAGACATTGTGAGTTGTACTGCTTGTTGTGTGGCTTCAAAAGAACTCCAGATGTATGTATTTTTGTTTTAGGGCAGCCTTTTAGCTTTAAGAAGTACCATTATCATCTTGGTGCACTGGAAAGTCATCAGATTAGAATATTAGGCCATTTCACACGTGCATAAGCAGCATTTAAATTGAACTTAAGCTTAATAATGGCTATAAATAATAAAATGGCTATAAATTATAAAAAATTATATCAGGAGAGAACCATTGAGAACTATTACCGTCTTGATGGTTATAAAATATAAATTACATACGCAGGAGGATCCATTAAAAAATATGTACAATTATACAAATGAATACAAATAATTTTTTTATTTAATTACTTTTTGGCTTGTTGTCTAGTAAAATATCTAAAATTATTGCTGAAACTTGAAATTAATATTAGCTTTGATAAAGTAATGCTTCTGAGTTTTGTGGGCCAGTGTCTTCTAAACAGTGAACTGGCTAATTAAAGCATAAAGTGTGATATATGTATGTGTGTAGTGACTAATGGAGATGAATTATGTTCTCTAAGTACAAGACAAGTAGGATTACTAGAATCTCTAAACTTCTGTCAGAAGTCTGCTTGCTGTCAGATTATAAGGACTCTTCATGAGAAGAAGACTCTATAAATAGAAGCCTAATAAGAAGACTTGAAAAGAGAACAATAATAATTGACCTGTGTATTTTACAGCAAGCGCAGGATTATGTGCAAATGTGACACAAATTAGGCAGGTTTTCTTAAAGAGAGGAAGGCTTTAGCATCCTGAAATGCTGTTTTGATTACTGTGCATGTTTTTCATTAATGCTTGCTAATAAAACGTCAGGACAAAGAACATCAAGAATTAAGAAGTCACTTTGTTAACAAAGCTGGAAGGACACCAGGGTTTCTGTGGCCTTGATGTGGTGGAGATGATCACAGACCCTTAGCTCTTGTCTTTCTGCTTGGCGACAATATCATTAAAAAAAAAAAAAATTTCGCTTATACGGCTGCAAGAATACAGGCAATGTATTTTGCAAACAGAGCGGTCACAGTTATTTAACCTCTCTTCCAGGAAAATCATCACCAGGAATTATGCACATTTGAACCTCAGAGCCATTATCCCTGAACAGCAGACAGAAGCCCTGCTGCCTTTCATGTGTCTTGACATTCAGGCCACGACACATTTGAGACCAACATATGTGATCTTTTAAATCATGTAACGTTTCTTTTTTTCCTGCATGCCCTGTTTGAAGTGTCCAGCTGCTCTTTTGATCTCGATGGGGTCACTGTTCACGTGATGTGAGCACATCATCTTTGTTTATAACAACCGTCTTTTTTGTCAGCGACATACACTAACCAACTCACTGAAAGCATCTATTACTCGAATAATAGTATATCAACGTATTTGCTTTGTAGCTAGTCTGGGAACTTATACCATACTATATGATCATTTTTGTCAGATATTTAATGGTGAGCTGACATACTAATGAAATGCAGGCTTTGCAAGCCGTTTAAGAGACTTAGGACTTTTCTCTTTCAAGTAGATTACAGCAGTACTTTCATGATTTGCAATAGCTGCCCAAAGACATTACTAAGATGGACAGCGAGTGGACTGTTTTAAAGGACTTTAATAAATGAGCCCAAATGCCTTCAGTGTAATGCAATTCAAACTAAATGTGTCATGCCAT